TAATGATAAGTTTACATGTTTACCTAAAGTTTTATTATTTTAATATTATTTGAATGAATTTTATCGATAATTAATGCAAAGTCCTGCAAATAATTAAGCAACACATTCCTGCAGCCATAGTCCGACTTCAAATACAGAAATAATGTATATTTAATAAAGTATATTAGTAAAATAAGTGTTTATAATTAGTTTTTAAAGTGTATCTTAGTTTCTAATAATACTTTAAATTAAATTAACAGCAAATTCATTATATTTTGTAAAACGATGATTTATAGTGTATTTAATATTAGAATCTTTAACTTCTGATTTTCCAACCACTTTTAGCAAATTCATCCGTGTTAAACTCATATTTTTCATTATTGTGTGTAATCAGTTAAGATAAAATAAAATGAATATAATAACTAAATATATATTCACTTTAATAATGGCCTGTTGTTCATTTTAGAGCAAGAGTCTCCTTGTGCTGAACGGTTTAACAGCACCTCCACATCACCTGCATCAGAGTGTGTTTTCTGCTGGAATCTGCTGTTCAGTGTGTGTTCGGTGTGTGTTCTCCTCTTCTCCATCTGCGTCTACTGCCTCTGTCAGAAGAAAACTACAGGTCATCAGCTATTCGTAAAAAATGTATATCTCAAATTATAAAATGTAAATTATTCTTATCTTTTGTTAAGTTTCTGTAGGTTCTGGGGCTGAGAACAGACATGTTGAGGTATGAGCACATTTTGAGAATAATTTTAATATATATTATTCGCAATAGTTTAGCAGCAACATAAATTACATCAATATAATGTAATATATTTGTTTGTTTATTTATTTGTTTATTATTTTAATTAAATATATTCTGTTTCAGGCTGGTGAAGAAGTGTGTTATGCTTCATTAGACATGCCTTCCACACAGCAACAAAGGCAGAGGAATGAAAAAGGCTTAGAGTTCAGACTTCAGTATTTATTCTGATGTCAGAACCAGCAGAATGTAAAGTAGAGTAAACTAAAGTCATTGTTCTTTAGTAGAAATATGATTCAAAAGAGTGTTAATGACAATGTTCTGGCATCTGCATCCTATTTTCATTGATTCTAATATTGTAAGTTTTTAATGATTAAAAATGTAAATACATTTAAGAAAGGTTAAATGTTTTTTCAGAATATTTGACTTGCAGTCTCAGAAAGGACTCAGTGTTGTTTCTGGGTCTCTCAGTTTAATATAATTTAAGCCAATCACATGAGTGCATATGCAGTAGTACTCCCAGCTAAAACTGAAGTTCTTAAACTCTTTTCATGCCACAAAACAAACATCTCCCTGCTACAACAACAGAAATGTAGAATGCAAATGTACATCTAACAGAGCTCTGAACATTCCTAATATTAAAAAAACAAAAAACTAGGTCTTAGATCATCAGATGTGTACACCATTTCAGAGGTTTTACTGCTACTGTGGGCAAATTACCACAACAACTCCACCAAAACTTATATATTATAGATCTATGAGATCATTTAATGGAATAACAACCAAAACAATATTTCATCACACCTTTAGCCTCAGTCAGTAGAGCTGCAATCTTCATTTTAAAACCATTATGAAAACCTCCATTAAGAGGACTTAAATGGATAGTTCACCCCAAAATAACAATTCTGTATCATTAACTCCCTTTCACTTGCTCCAAACCTGTTTGAGTTTCTTTATTCTGTTCAATACAAAAGAAGATATTTTGAAGAAAGCTGAAAAGCTGTACCCATTGACTTGTTTGTTTTTGCTACTATGAAAGTCAACGGTTACAGGTTTTCAGCTTCTTCAAAACATTTTATTTTGTGCAAAACAGAAAACAAGAAACTCTTAAAGATTTGAAACCGCTTGAGTTTGAGTAAACAGTGAGTAAATCTGGATTTCTGTGTGAACTCTCCCTTTATTTGAGCTCTCTCCAGTCACTCTAGGAAGACACTACACCTGGATTATTTGTCTAAATAATACGTTTATTATTAAAATCCCTATTAACATTAAATTCATCTGAAGCGGTGGCTTAGTGCAGGTAAAGGGGCCCCGGCCCTGGGTGAGTCGGCCATTAGTTAATGCCCACTCCTCATTCTGCAGGTGATCAGGAAGCAGTTCTCTGCACTTCCTGTGTGACTCCTGCTCACCCTACACAAATCATTAAGATCATTAATCCAGACTGACCCTAACAACACAATCAAAGCCATGAGTGCGTCACTCAGATAAGTGTCAAGTCACTGGCCACCTGTTCACTGTAACCAGGGATGGCGCTCAATATCGTCCAAACTGGGCCGATCAGCCGCCGCTGGACTGAGACACCAGCCAATCAGCTGACGGCACTCTGATACACACAACACCGTGTTCAGAAACACAGAGCACACACTTCTGCTGATCTCTCAGTGAGTCTCTTACCTGTTGACAGAGTTATGGGGAAGGTCAGTTTGCTCCTGGACGTGACCCTCAGTGAGCCTCCGAAGGGGAAACGGTTGCACAGGATGTTGAAGAGGGTCACTCCTACTGACCACACCGTAGCTGGACCCGCATGGTAGCGCTGTCTGCAGAACCACTCAGGTGGAGCGTATTGAATAGTTCCTGAGAGACACAAGGAGACACAAACACCCGTTCAAAACACTCCAGCACACACAAATTCCCTTTGGTGGATCATCAAAAGCTCACAAACATCCACAGAGTGTTTCCTTCTGCAACACAAACCCACCTGCGAAGTATTTGTAGGCCGAGCGCTTGAGCAGATCTCCACAGCCGAAGTCCAGCAGCTTGATGTCCTGGGACTCTGTGGAGATCAGCAGGTTCTCTGGCTTGACGTCCCGGTGCAGGACTCCGCGGCTCTCGCAGTGTTTCAGAGCCGCGATCAGCTGCACCAGCACTTTCTTGGCCAGACCCTCATCCAGACAGCCGTTCTCCTCACAGAAGCTCTGGAGGTCTTGGCAGGGATCCGGACGCTCCAGGATCAGGATGTAGCGTCTGGGACGGTCAAACCAGTCTAGCAGCTGCAGGACGTTGGGGCAGGCAGGAGCTGAATTGACGCGGGTCATCAGTGCCACCTCCAGCGGCAGCCGACCCTGACCTTCCTGCAGGACAAACGATTGGATTCAGAACCCAATGAAACATCAAACACAACAACAGGTTCACACTGAACTCACAACTCTCAGTCTCCTCTGTGTCCGCTCTTTAGACACATACTTGATGGCGACCTGTAGACAGATAAAGCATAATAAATCACACCTGCCTGATCCTCACACATCACATTTACTGAGATCAGGATTTCTAAAGGCTGTTTGAATGAAGAGCGGAGAAAACGACTTACTGGCAGTCCATCAGACCTGCGCATCCCAGCAAACACAGAGCCAAATCCACCGTCTCCCAGCAGTGGGCCCTTTGCATACGCGTCTGCAACACAGAGGAGCAGTAGAAATGTGTGTTCAAAGAAAACATGCAGCAGTAGAGAAAACTGTAAAAGAGCATTACTGAAACATCATCATCACTTCTTCAATAAGCCATTCTGACCTCTGCGAGAGCGTTTGAGAGCTCTTCTAGATGAGGTGGACGGACGTTCATCTTCTGGTGTTTGCTGGCTGCCGCTCTGCCGCTTCCTCTTCCTGTTACCCTGATCTGTGGACACAGATTTGGCCAACGGGGAAGGCAGAGGTGCGAGAAATCCATCAAGCTCTTGGCTCACGGTCTGGGTTTCACCATCACCATCATGTGTCCTGACGTCCTGAACAGCTGCCTGGATGAAAGCAGAACTCCTGGATCTGGAGCGGCCTGAGACAACGACAACAACAACAACATATCACGTTTATCATAAGATTATAAGAATTAATCAACAATTAACTTTAGTAGCTGCATCTACAGAGAATAAAAGACATCTGATCACTTATATCGGGGAACAGTTGTGTTGAAATGGGTTCATTTGTACCAGTTTATTTACATCACATTTCCCCAAACATTACACAACATCATATCATGATTGATCATAAACAAATAAAAACTAAAACACTCACTGCGGTTTTCACCCATCTGACAAACTCCTCCAAACTCCAGCAAACCTGAAAACAAAAACAAAGATCAAATATCAATAAAAATGTCAATAAAAACAAGATCAAAATCAAAATAAACACAACAAAAGAGCAACAAAACGTGTCAAAAGGAATAATTTCAGCTCTGAGCGTCGATCTCCTTGTAAAATAAAAGTCTTCTGTCAGAAATTCTCTGGTCTCCTTGAAGAATCGCAGTATCAGCACAGTAATCCTCAGCAAATGTCTCAGAAATTCGCCTCTCCTCAATCAACAGATAGCGGCGAGTCTCGGTGTTTATATATGGAGTCAAATCATAACACGCGTTGCTATAGCAACCACAATTTGAATCGCTATTCTGAATCACGTCAGTAAACAACGATTCATCTAATCTCAATATATACATAAAATTAAATAAGAAATAATAATAATTAATATAGTAGAATTAATTATTGTTATTCTAATAATTTTACATTTAAATAAATTAATTTGTAAATCACCAAACTGTGATAATTGCTAAATGAGCAGAATTCATTTTGACTGACATTCATATTCTGTCAAATTTTCAGCTGTTTAGGAAATAATTAAATAAAACTAATAAATTTAACTCAAATATTTTCTATTGGTGGCTCAAACTATGCATTTTTTTCACGGTAATTTAATGTACAGTGTTAACTGCTCGTAAAGATATTAGCAATATAAGTATAAGTTCAAAATAGTTTAATATTGTAAATAATATAAAGTAAATGATTGCTTAGTTCACCAAAATTTCACATCACATGACCGTACGTAGATATCTGGTTCATGGTTCAGTCATATTTATGTACTTTCATTTGCTCTTGTTTTCAGATTTATTATTATTAAGTTTTATTAATGTTTTCGATATTTTGGATGAATGTGAAGGTTTTCTAAGGGACTAGAAAGCACAAAAGCGTTCACACGCAGAAAGAGTTCCCGCGTCGAATGAGTTCCCACGTCGAACCACAAGATGGCGTCCACAGCAGAAAGGTGCAAGTTTCTAAATACATTATTTCTTGTTTGCATGAATCAATGTCTTTTTTCATTACTAATATGCAGCTTTCAATATGTTAAATTCCTATCACAAGGTCTGTCCAAATAAACAAAACAAAACAGCGACTCTAAATTAGCCTTTTACACTCAAAAAAAATGATAGGCTATGTTGGCTTTAATTAACTTTTTTATGTCAACAGGTTCCACGTAACCGAGTTAAGTTACCTTAAAGAAAGACTATTTATTTGAGTAAACTTAAGTTAGTTACATAACGGCAAGGTAATGTTGTTTAGTTCAATCAACACAACATTTATAATTTAGCTTTAATTTTTTTACGCTGTTAAAAAAACATTTAAATTTATGGAAAAATACCGGCAGTAAATTTTCTGTGAAAATACGGAAGCTTTATAGGACTGTTTAAATTTACAGAAAATAACCGTATTCCATCATCTGATACTATGCTCATTTTACAAAAACCTAGTTTAGCTCACAAAAACGTAAAGTCATTTAATGCATTAATGTGTTCATGTATGTACAATTAGCAAACAGATTTTCACTGCATCAGTAACTATACAGTTACCTTTAAATAAAAGAAGATGCAGCACAACATCAGTTGTCCTTAGTTCATATTGGACTTGCACACAGATGCTACTATCCTTCAAGTGTGCAACATTCAACATTTAAATCAAATTGTATTAATCATTTTACAAAATTTCCTTCCATAAAGCAAGTAAATCTGTTTCTGTTTTCTATTATGTTTTAATTTCTACATTAGACCTTCTTTAGTTGTTGAGAAATGACAGTATCCTGTTCACTGATCAGACACTTATAATGAATTTAATGTGAGAAGAGAGTTTAGTGTGGAGTAAATTCAGCACAATGGACAGCTCCCTGCAGTGCTGAACTGACTGAACCACATCTGCAGGAGGAAATGCTACAGAGATGTTTAATTACTGCTGAATAATTACTGAACAATGTTACATATTGAAAATCTAACCCATCAATAATGATTACATAAAAAAAAACCTGTTGGGCTTATTCGCTCTAAGGCATGCTTTAATAATTATATTTCTTTTAAAGTTTTACAGTTTTGTTAATCTTAATAAAAAGGAAACACTGAGTTTGTATTGTCATTTCTTTTTGTAATTGAACACTCAAGACTAAAAAAAACCTAATGAAAAATCTGTGCTTTTTGTCAATAATCTAAGAGATCTTATCAGATCAGAGAAATGTATTCTGTTCTTCTAGAAAACCTTTTTCAGTTTGGCTGGTGAAAACAGTTTTTAATAAGAAAACTAACAAAAGATTAAGCACATATTATTAGCCCTGTAAGATTTTTTTCACTACAGAACCAAACACTGTTGTCCTATGATTTGCCTAAATTAAACTAACTTTAGTTAACCTAATTAACCCAGTGAGCCTTTAAACTGCACTTTAAGCTGAATACTAGTGTCTTGTAAAATAACTATTAAAATATTGTGTCATGAGTTATTAGAGATTATTTATTTAACATATTATGTTTAAAAATGTGTTGCAAAAGATATTTTCTCAGTTAAACAGTGCTGGGGAATTATTTAATCATTCATTACACTCAGAATAATTTATTTCAAGTGTTTATTTCAGTTCATTTTGATGATTATTATGGCTTACAGCTAATGAAAACTCCAAATTCTGAATCTCAGATAATTAAAATTATTCTTAAGACCAATAAAAAGAACTTTAACACAGAAATGCTGGACTACTGTAAAGTATGAACATGTACAGCACTCAATACTTGGTTGGAGCTGTCTTAACATGAATTAGTTCAGCAATAATATGTGGCATGGAGGTGATCAGTCAGTGGCTCTGCTGTTATGAAGGTCTGATAGTGGCCTTCAGCTCTGATAGTGGTGTTTGTCTGGTGTTTCACATCTTCCTCTTCACAATACCACACAGATTCTCTATGAGTTTTAGGTCCGGCAACTTTGGTGGCCAATGAAGCACAGAGATTGCATAGTCTTTAAACTAGGTGTTAGCACTTTTAGTGTGGACGCAGTTAAATCCATGGATGTAAAAAGGAACACCAATACTCAAAAGCTGTGACTTTGTGACTGAGGTAAACCACAGTGAAAGTCAGTTTCTACAAATGGAACAGTCGAGAATGGCTTTCTAGGAGTGGCAGACCAAAAATTACCCCAAAAGTGTGTGGGTGTTTCCCAGTACAGTGCTGCGTTGCGGCTGAAAGAGCATCCGCTGGAAAAAAGCATATGCCGGAATAGTTGGCGGTTTATTTCGCTGTGGCAACACCTGATAAATAAGGGACTAAGCCGAAGGATAATGAATGAATGAAAACTCAATACTTTCGTCCTCAGTGTATTTTATGTATTTTTGGCTGTATTAAAGGTGTATTCTTTGTGGATCCACAGGGATGGTGAAATGCTGCTTATTTTACTGTGTGCATTTTCTCTTCATTCTCTGAATGATCATAGTGTTCATGTGACTCAATTTTAGATTAAACCTGAAATGTCTAAGCTGAATGAGAGATGTAAGCTCTCTGGGCCTGATAGGTGGGCTAGTGAGTTTAGATAACAACATGAAGATAAACAAACAGGCAATCTTAAAATGTAATAAATATATCCTAAAACTGTCTGATACAAAGAAAAATGCTGACTTTAGCTTTTTAGTAAGATGTAGTCTTTGTTTTGCTTTTTATCATGTGAAATTGGAATTAAATAAAATTTTAATCAAATATATCAAAAGCAGGAATTTACCCATTATAAAAGTTTCACTCAAGTGTCTCATCTCCTTTTTTTTCTCAAGGTAGGGTCTTGTTCTCAGTTAAAAGATTACATCTAAACCACAAATGTTTCCACTCAGTCTTGCTTGTGTGCAGACATTATGATGCACAAACAGGACAGTGGTTAGTTTGTTTGCTAATGCTTATGTTGTGGTGAACTTGCTTTTCATGCATGCAGTGTCTGTGAAACTTGTTGCAAAAAAAGGAAATAGAAAAAAGAACAATTGTTGTCTAGTGGTTAATTATCTGAAATAAACTTAACATGTCCCCCTACCAAGAGGTGAGAAAGTATTCACACTTCTACTTTTACTCAAGCTACACTGCAGAAAACTGTTTGACTCTATGAAGTTATTTCATTTATCTGCTGAATTAAAAGGGAACACCTGTGTCTTTTTGACATATATATAGTCTATGGTGGAATTGTTGCCCTACAGCAATATGGTCGCTAGTTTGAGTCTCGGCTGGACCAGGAGGCCTTTCTATGTGGAGTTTGCATCTTGTTGTTTTTCTCACACCGTTTCTGAACAATTTTTGCTTTGTGTGAATGTAAGAGTGTAGGGTTGTTTCCCAGTGTTGGGTTGCAGCTGAAAGGGCATCCGAGCTGAAAAGAAAATAAATGAATGAAATCCGCACTAAACTAAGATGAATGTGTTTTAAAAAGATTAATTAAAGTTGCCTTTTTTACCTGTTGACACATGCATTCTTTGTCATAAGAGCTGTTTGTGAAGATGAGGAAGACAAAATAAAAGATGTTTGGGAAAAAATCTATATTTCAGTAATTTTGCCAAGTAACAGTAACACAGTTATTAAAACAGCTTCCTGTGCAGATATGTGCACCCTAACCAACATATGAAACTACATAAAGACTAAAGGAAATACTTTTGATCAATGATAAACTTAGAGCTGTGAAGCATCTGTAAGGTGTTTGCTTACAGAGACCTAAAGCTGTGGTTTCCTGTTTTGACATGTTGCTGAATTGAGTGTCATCAAAACCAAGTATGAGATAACTCTAATAGTAACTATATAGCACGTACATCAGTTATGTAGTTCAATATGAATTTAAATATGTAAATACTTTAACGTAATGAGCACTTTACTGTAAGATTGGATTTGTTGGATTGGATTTGGCAGGATGGCTGTCCCTGTATTTAATTCTTCTGAAAGTGATTGCAGCAATATAATTTTAGTGCCATTATATTTAAATTTGTGAAGCAGACCCCCAATTGAAATGTAAATCACACAATGTTGTGTGTGAAGTAAGCTTATTTGATACTACACAGATCTGTCAAAGATAACGTTTTACTTCTTGTTTGATGATGATGATTTGATGATGTTCTTTTCACATCACAGCAAAAGAAGCCAGCTATTGGTTATTTCTAATAAGACCAGAAAATAACCCAATGTTAGGCCACCCCCTAATGAGGCATGAGCTTTTAGGTTAAACTTTGTTGATGAAAAAATCAGATAAGAGCTGTTTGTGTGCATTGAGACCCTCACCAGTGTCAGTTACTCACAATCACTCACTGATATGGAGACGCCACGACTTACTCTCATCCTGCTCATGTGTAAGAGTAAAAATCTAATCTAATCTAATCTATTTGCAAAGTTTTTAAATGTGTATCCAATAATAATGCTATATATATATATATATATATATGTGTGAATGTTATGTTTGTGTGTGTGTGTGTGTGTGTGTGTGTGTGTGTGTGTGTGTGTGTGTGTGTGTGTGTGTGTGTGTGTGTGTGTGTGTGTGTGTGTGTGTGTGTGTGTGTGTGTGTTGGTATGGAATAAGTATCATAAGAGTTTTTTTAAATGACTTTGTTATTTTACAGGTGTTTTGTTGTTCAGTCTGAGAAGAATCTCTGGAGAAGAAGTGGAGATGAAAGTCAGAGCAGGAGAAAACATCACTCTCTACTGTGATCTCTCTTTACCTACTTCACCTACTGGTTCCCTCATTGTGTGGATCAGAAACTGCTCTCATGAAAATCAACCCTCTCTCATAATAGGCGCAAACATTATGGTTGGAAATGGGACCTATTACAGCCTTTCAGCTTTATACATAATGATTGCAGCAATTCTTACGATCTGCGTATTACTAACATCAGTGTCTCTGATCTGGGGCTGTACTACTGTGGAAAAGGTGAGAATAAGGTAAATCAGGATGAAAAAGGGATCATCTCTGGATCTGAGGTTTACTATTATTGAAATCGAACAACTCGTCTCTTTCTTGCCGGTAAGAAGACATTATTATTTAATTATATGCAACTCGATATCTTTTTCTTTTCTGTTCTGAATAAATTTTTTTCTCTAAACAATGTTTTAAAGAATGATTTCATCTTCTGATATATTTTTTAATTTCGTCACCAATCTACCAAATAAGACATGAGCTAATCTTAGACAGTTTTGTATGCTTTACACGCCATCATTAATTTGCATTATGTAATCACATTTATTCAGATTATGTCAGCATTATTATCATTATTATTTCAGAATTATCAAGGATGGGCAAAAACATTTTAATGTATTTTAAAATATAATACCAAATACTTTAATTTTAAATATATCAAAACAAAATACAGCAGTAACAACGTGTATTAAATAAAATGCCTATAAAAATACTACAAAATACTTTTAGCATGACATTTTCTCAAACCTCCTGTTTATTGGATCAATCCCTTCACTATTGATCTGACTCAGTTAAACAATGTTTGATAGCAACGTTTTTAACTGACTATGTTTTAGCAGATTCGCTGCCATCTTGTTCACTTCTACTGTACATGAGTATTTATAAAAAATTGTGTTTCTTTTTGATTTTTGTATAAATTTTGTACAGATTTACAAAGTCCTGTCTTAAAGAGGAACTCTACTGTTTAAATTATTTAAAGCCGGTTATTAGTTGGAACATATTACTATATATGTTGATTGTGTTTTCACCCATTGCAGGCCAGTAAAATTGCCAGCATCTCTGTACGATTATTATTCAGCCACTTATATTAAAAAAGTTCACATATGAAGAGTTCATTTCATTTTTTTTTTGTTCATAGAATATTTCATAAATTGTGTTTTTTGTTAATAAACTCTTCGATACACAATGTAAAATATTCATTCATTTATTCATTCATTCATTTTTATTTATTTTTTGCTTAGTCCCTTTATTAATCAGGGGTTGTCACAGTGGAATGAACTCATCCAGCATATGTTTTACCCAGCGAATGCCAATCTAGCTGCAACCCATCCCTGGGAAACACCCATACGCTCTCATTTACACACACGTACACTACAGACAATTTAGCCAACCCAATTCACCTGCACCGCATGTCTTTGGACTTGTGGGGGAAATCAGAGCACCCAGTGAAAACTCACGTTACACTTGCTGTGAGGCGATTGTGCTACCCACTGCGCCACCATGTAAAAACATGATTTCTGCACTGTACACTTCAATGCACAACATAAAAACATGATAAATAGCAAAATTAATAAAAATAGTTACAGCTTCTGTTTTTCCAAATAAATTCTTCATATCCTGCTGCTGCTGTAAAACCATTTGATTATTAATTGTTTGTTTGTTGTTGTTTATTTATTGTATTAAATGTGTGTGTAACTGTGTGTGTTTATTCTTATACAGAATGTTGATGTTCAGTCTTAAATCGTTCATTTATCAGCAGTTTCTGCACATGAGTCCACCATCGCCTCCACTTCTCCTCCAGTGTCAGAGTGTGTGTCCTGCTGGACGCTGCTGTTGAGTGTGTGTCCGGTGTGTGTTCTCCTCTCCTCACTCCTGTCCTCCATCTGTGTTTACTGCTTCTGTCGTCCTCAAACTACAGGTAGAGCTCATCGACACATTTACATTTATTTTGAACAAATCTGTGAATCTGTAGAGCTTTTTTAAAGATTTGTTCTTTTAGCTTTTAACATTTTGACTCTAATCGTAATTATTAGACTTTTCCACATGAGAAAATACAGTAATTTATAGTAAATACTGGAGTGTTTTTGACCCATTCTACAGTAATTTGTATTATACTGTACTGTATATTATAGTATTTACTAAACTGTTAAAGAATGCTGAAGCAGAATATAGTATTAACTACTGAATTGATAAACTGAGACAAATACTGTAGTATACTTTGGTTTTTATTATAGTAAACTGTGGTGTAAAGTGGTATTTAGTAGAGTATTGGTTTGTAAACATTACTATAGTTGTTGCATTACCACAGAAACTATAAAATTACCACAACAGATTAATTCAAGTCCTTTACTATAGTATAGTTCAAAAACACTACAGTATTTACTATAAATTACTACAGTATATTAATCAGGTTCATTTTGTGTGTTTTAGGTTCTGACATGAGTGCTGAGATTCTTAAAGCAAATGTTTTGATGGTAACTATTTTATACTCTTTTATTGACCATATCAAAGATGAATTGTGGACTGATGTGGTTTTTCACTAGTTTATTTGATCCATTTTCTCCTTGTCAATCATTTCAGGCAGATTGTGTGGAGAAACATCAGTGTGAGGCGAGTAAGACTGGAAAGATCTGCGTCCACACTGAAGTCTCTTATAGACGACTGACATCTAAACATCCCTACACCAACATCTGACACATGAACTGCTCTTAGTCTACTTTCTGTCTTATTTCTGATAGAGTTTGAGTGGACATGCTTTTATTTACAGCACATTATCTATTACAATCAAATGTTTTTTTTTTTAAATGAACAGTGTGATCCACAGATTATTTAGGGTTTAACATTTTATTTTTGACAATATTAATGTGTCCAAAGATTATTAAGAAAAGCAGATTATTAATAACAGCACAAGGCTGTGTATGTTTGTATCTGCAGTTCATCTGCATATCTCAAAATAAATGAGTATGTAAATGTTCACTCATGAATGATCACTTTTATTTCAAATATTAACACAACATATTTAATAGTTATCAGCGTCTGTGAACATGAATAAATATTGAAGAGGGAGTCATGAACAAACAATGGCTCCATCTAGTGGCTAATAGCTGAAGCGACGTCAAAACCACTTGTCAAGACCACTTGTCCACACATCGTTTTATCAGCACCAGTTCTCCCCCTCTAAATTATAACCAAGACCTATTAATGTCACGTACATGTAGAAGATGAAACATTGGTCAGTTTTCATTCTTCAGTGGTGTTTTATTTTTTTTTTTGAGTGAAACTTTAATAATGATTGTTTCTTAAAGTTTAAACCGTGTGTATTACCTCCATGACTAGATTGTGTTCAGAGATGTATCAACATTATTATACTTAATAAAATCAGTCCAGTTTATATGACGATGATAGTTTTATGATTCTGTGCCCTGTATTGGAAAAAAGTCTGACCATTTCTTTAAAGTTTTATTCTTATTTTATTAAAAAGAAACCACAACAATAAACTACACATAAAGTATGATGTGTTCAGATTTAAGTATTGTATTAAGACTTTACTTCATTCAGAAACTGATGGGATAAATAATAAAATGACATGAAAAAATAACAACATAAAACTGTGACAAATCAGTTAAGTTTTAAATGACAGTATCCTGTTCACTGATCAGACACTTATAATGAATTTAATGTGAGAAGAGAGTTTAGTGTGGAGTAAATTCAGCACAATGGACAGCTCCCTGCAGTGCTGAACTGACTGAACCACATCTGCAGGAGGAAATGCTACAGAGATGTTTAATTACTGCTGAATAATTACTGAACAATATTGAATATTGAAAATCTAACCCATCAGTAGTGATTACTAATTAAACATTTATTTTATATATAAATTAAGATAAAAGGCGATTACATAAAAAACCTGTTGGGCTTATTCGCTCTAAGACATGCTTTGATAATCATATTTCTTTTAAAGTAATACGGTTTTGTCAATGTTAATAAAAGGAAACACTGAGTTTGTATAATCATTTCTTTTTGTAATTGAACACTCACTTTACAGCTCTTCGTCTCTCAGAAAACTCCCTCATTAAACCAATAGTTGCCCTCGCGCACATTAATCAATACACAAGACTAAAGAAAGCCTAATGGAAAATCTGTGCTTTGTGACAATGATCTAAGAGATCTTATCAGATCAGTGAAGTTTATTTTTCAGTTTGGCTGAAGTGAAAACAGTTTTTGATAAAAACAAACAAAAAATTAAGCACATTATTATTAGCCCTGTAAGATTTTTTTTTTTTTGGCTACAGAACCAAACACTGTTGTCCTATGATTTGCCTAAATTAAACTAACTTTAGTTAACCTAATTAACCCAGTGAGCCTTTAAACTGCACTTTAAGCTGAATACTAGTGTCTTGTAAAATAACTATTAAAATATTGTGTCAGGAGTTATTAGAGATTATTTATTTAACATATTATGTTTAAAAATGTGTTGCAAAAGATATTTTCTCAATTAAACCGTGCTGGGGAATTATTTAATCATTCATTACACTCAGAATAATTTATTTCAAGTGTTTATTTCAGTTCATTTTGATGATTATGGATTACAGCTAATATTAGTGTCAATTATAGTTTATCTCTTCATAATATAGCTGTGCTTTAATGATAAGTTTACATGTTTACCTAAAGTTTTATTATTTTAATATTATTTGAATGAATTTTATCGATAATTAATGCAAAGTCCTGCAAATAATTAAGCAACACAATCCTGCAGCCATAGTCCGACTTCAAATACAGAAATAATGTATATTTAATAAAGTATATTAGTAAAATAAGTGTTTATAATTAGTTTTTAAAGTGTATCTTAGTTTCTAATAATACTTTAAATTAAATTAACAGCAAATTCATTATATTTTGTAAAACGATGATTTATAGTGTATTTAATATTAGAATCTTTAACTTCTGATTTTCCAACCACTTTTAGCAAATTCATCCGTGTTAAACTCATATTTTTCATTATTGTGTGTAATCAGTAAAGATAAAATAAAATGAATATAATAACTAAATATATATTCACTTTAATAATGGCCTGTTTTAGAGCAAGAGTCTCCTTGTGCTGAACGGTTTAACAGCACCTCCACATCACCTGCATCAGAGTGTGTTTTCTGCTGGAATCTGCTGTTCAGTGTGTGTTCGGTGTGTGTTCTCCTCTTCTCCATCTGCGTCTACTGCCTCTGTCAGAAGAAAACTACAGGTCATCAGCTATTCGTAAAAAATGTATATCTCAAATTATAAAATGTAAATTATTCTTATCTTTTGTTAAGTTTCTGTAGGTTCTGGGGCTGAGAACAGACATGTTGAGGTGTGAGCACATTTTGAGAATAATTTTAATATATATTATTCGCAATAGTTTAGCAGCAACATAAATTACATCAATATAATGTAATATATTTATTTGTTTATTTATTTGTTTATTATTTTAATTAAATATATTCTGTTTCAGGCTGGTGATGAAGTGTGTTATGCTTCATTAGACATGCCTTCCACACAGCAACAAAGGCAGAGGAATGAAAGAGCTCAGAGTTCAGACTTCAGTATTTATTCTTATGTCAGAACCAGCAGAATGTAAAGTAGAGTAAACTAAAGTCATTGTTCTTTAGTAGAAATATGATTCAAAAGAGTGTTAATGACAATGTTCTGGCATCTGCATCCTATTTACATTGATTCTAATATTGTAAGTTTTTAATGATTAAAAATGTAAATACATTTAAGAAAGGTTAAATGTTTTTTCAGAATATTTGACTTGCAGTCTCAGAAAGGACTCAGTGTTGTTTCTGGGTCTCTCAGTTTAATATAATTTAAGCCAATCACATGAGTGCATATGCAGTAGTACTCCCAGCTAAAACTGAAGTTCTTAAACTCTTTTCATGCCACAAAACAAACATCTCCCTGCTACAACAACAGAAATGTAGAATGCAAATGTACATCTAACAGAGCTCTGAACATTCCTTATATTAAAAAAACAAAAAACTAGGTCTTAGATCATCAGATGTGTACACCATTTCAGAGGTTTTACTGCTACTGTGGGCAAATTACCACAACAACTCCACCAAAACTTATATATTATAGATCTATAAGATCATTTAATGGAATAACAACCAAAACAATATTTCATCACACCTTTAGCCTCAGTCAGTAGAGCTGCAATCTTCATTTTAAAACCATTATGAAAACCTCCATTAAGAGGACTTAAATGGATAGTTCACCCCAAAATAACAATTCTGTATCATTAACTCCCTTTCACTTGCTCCAAACCTGTTTGAGTTTCTTTATTCTGTTCAATACAAAAGAAGATATTTTGAAGAAAGCTGAAAAGCTGTACCCATTGACTTGTTTGTTTTTGCTACTATGAAAGTCAACGGTTACAGGTTTTCAGCTTCTTCAAAACATTTTATTTTGTGCAAAACAGAAAACAAGAAACTCTTAAAGATTTGAAACCGCTTGAGTTTGAGTAAACAGTGAGTAAATCTGGATTTCTGTGTGAACTCTCCCTTTATTTGAGCTCTCTCCAGTCACTCTAGGAAGACACTACACCTGGATTATTTGTCTAAATAATACGTTTATTATTAAAATCCCTATTAACATTAAATTCATCTGAAGCGGTGGCTTAGTGCAGGTAAAGGGGCCCCGGCCCTGGGTGAGTCGGCCATTAGTTAATGCCCACTCCTCATTCTGCAGGTGATCAGGAAGCAGTTCTCTGCACTTCCTGTGTGACTCCTGCTCACCCTACACAAATCATTAAGATCATTAATCCAGACTGACCCTAACAACACAATCAAAGCCATGAGTGCGTCACTCAGATAAGTGTCAAGTCACTGGCCACCTGTTCACTGTAACCAGGGATGGCGCTCAATATCGTCCAAACTGGGCCGATCAGCCGCCGCTGGACTGAGACACCAGCCAATCAGCTGACGGCACTCTGATACACACAACACCGTGTTCAGAAACACAGAGCAACACACTTCTGCTGATCTCTCAGTGAGTCTCTTACCTGTTGACAGAGTTATGGGGAAGGTCAGGAGTTTTAGCAGGAGATCCGGCGTTTCAGGAATCCGGATGAGGGTTTGGGACGGTCAAACCAGTCTAGCAGTTGCAGGACGTTGGGGCAGACAGGAGGTGAATTGACGCGGGTCATCAGTGCCACCTCCAGCGGCAGCCGACTTGACCTTCCTGCAGGACAAACGATTGGATTCAGAACCCAATGAAACATCAAACACAACAACAGGTTCACACTGAACTCACAACTCTCAGTCTCCTCTGTGTCCGCTCTTTAGACACATACTTGATGGCGACCTGTAGACAGATAAAGCATAATAAATCACACCTGCCTGATCCTCACACATCACATTTACTGAGATCAGGATTTCTAAAGGCTGTTTGAATGAAGAGCGGAGAAAACGACTTACTGGCAGTCCATCAGACCTGCGCATCCCAGCAAACACAGAGCCAAATCCACCGTCTCCCAGCAGTGGGCCCTTTGCATACGCGTCTGCAACACAGAGGAGCAGTAGAAATGTGTGTTCAAAGAAAACATGCAGCAGTAGAGAAAACTGTAAAAGAGCATTACTGAAACATCATCATCACTTCTTCAATAAGCCATTCTGACCTCTGCGAGAGCGTTTGAGAGCTCTTCTAGATGAGGTGGACGGACGTTCATCTTCTGGTGTTTGCTGGCTGCCGCTCTGCCGCTTCCTCTTCCTGTTACCCTGATCTGTGGACACAGATTTGGCCAACGGGGAAGGCAGAGGTGCGAGAAATCCATCAAGCTCTTGGCTCACGGTCTGGGTTTCACCATCACCATCATGTGTCCTGACGTCCTGAACAGCTGCCTGGATGAAAGCAGAACTCCTGGATCTGGAGCGGCCTGAGACAACGACAACAACAACAACATATCACGTTTATCATAAGATTATAAGAATTAATCAACAATTAACTTTAGTAGCTGCATCTACAGAGAATAAAAGACATCTGATCACTTATATCGGGGAACAGTTGTGTTGAAATGGGTTCATTTGTACCAGTTTATTTACATCACATTTCCCCAAACATTACACAACATCATATCATGATTGATCATAAACAAATAAAAACTAAAACACTCACTGCGGTTTTCACCCATCTGACAAACTCCTCCAAACTCCAGCAAACCTGAAAACAAGAACAAAGATCAAATATCAATAAAAATGTCAATAAAAACAATAAAAACAAGATCAAAATCAAAATAAACACAACAAAAGAGCAACAAAACGTGTCAAAAGGAATAATTTCAGCTCTGAGCGTCGATCTCCTTGTAAAATAAAAGTCTTCTGTCAGAAATTCTCTGGTCTCCTTGAAGAATCGCAGTATCAGCACAGTAATCCTCAGCAAATGTCTCAGAAATTCGCCTCTCCTCAATCAACAGATAGCGGCGAGTCTAGGTGTTTATATATGGAGTCAAATCATAACACGCGTTGCTATAGCAACCACAATTTGAATCGCCAATCTGAATCACGTGAGTAAACGATTCATCTCATCTCAACATATAAATAATAAATAATTAATAATAATAAATAACATAGTTATAATAATAATAATAGTAATAATAATAATAATAATAATAATAATAATAATAATAATAATGAAGTTTAAATCAATTAATTTATAATTCACGAAACTGTAATAATAATGCTAAATGAGCAAGATTGGTTTGACAAGGTTTGACTTTGTAAAATGTACAGCTATTTAGGAATTAATTAAATTAAAATAATAAAATTAACTCATATATTTTCTATTAGTGGCCCAAGCAATGTAAGTGCATGCTGTTTAATTACACGTACAGTGCTAACTGCTCACGTAGATATTAGGAATATAAGTTTTAAAAAAAGTTTATTATTGTAAATAATAGAAAGTAAATTAAATCGTTCACAATTTCTATGTCTATGCCTATATTTTACAGTCTATGGTCTACGCACGATTTCAGATCACATGGCCGTTTGTATCATCATCTGGTAGGCTACATGGTTCAGTCATATTTATGTACTTTTCATTTGCTCTTGTTTTCAGATTTAATATTATTAAGTTTTATTAATGTTTTCGTTATTTTGGATGTATGTGAAGGCTTTTTAAGGGACTTTGTGTTCACTCAACGGCTAGAAAGCACAAAAGTTCACCTGCCGAATGAGTTCCCGTGTCTGACCACAAGATGGCGTCCACAGCAGAAAGGTGCAAGTTTATAAATACATTATTTCTGTTTGTATGAATCTAAATAGCTGTTTTCATCACTAATATACAGCTTTCAATAAGCTAAATTACTATCACAAGGTCTGTAATGACAATTAGCTTATACGTTTGCTAGATTTTTCCTAACCTATCTAGCCTTGTTCATTTATATTAAAACAAAAAAAGATTGTATTTTATTCAGAAAAACATCTCTCGTTTGTCATTACGTTTGATGATTTGATGTGATTTGAGCTTCTGAACTTCTGTTAAGGGTGCAAAGTCTGCATTGAAGCGGCCTGATTTTATACACCAGTTTACAGTAGTAAAAATATATCAAAGTTAATTAAAGTAAACATATTAAAGGTAAACAGGTTTCTATTTTTTGAATGTAGTTAAAAATTATTTATAAAATGAATAATATGATTAATAATATGATTCATTTATTATATTGATATACATTTTTTATATTAAATTATCTCTGGGTCATAAAGGATTCTGCTTGCAGCCTACAGTACATCAGCTTTCAGGCTCAGTGCTGTGTTTCTTCTTCTTCTTCTTGGTCTTTACTGACGCTCCTGGTGCAGTGATGTTGCAGTTGCTGTGAAAAGCTAGGCGAGAACACAAACCACAAGTGTTTTTATTCAGGCATGCAACAGACTGAATGTCCTAAAACTGTTTGTGATCAAGCTGGTGATCTTGCATGCTCAATACACACATCAATGCATGAGATAAACTGTGGTTAGACAAAAACAGAAATAAGAAAAGTAAGAAAATATTTAGTGCACGCTGCAGCTGTAAATGTTGCTTTTATTATTTTCATGACTTGGAATTGATGAGAAACTGAAGATGCAAAAGTCTGATTCATTAAAATACGTGCCATGAATCAGAGACAGTGTAAACAGCACACAACTGAGGTTTGATTTATTTAAAGAAGAGCAGAGCAATGCAACATATACGAGTGCAACATTCAACATTTAAACCAAATTGTAATAATCATTCAACAAAATTTCCTTTCATAAAGCAAATCCATCTGCTGTATTTCCTATTATCTTTTAATTTCTACATTAGACCTTCTTTAGTTGTTGAGAAATGACAGTATCCTGTTCACTGATCAGACACTTATAATGAATTTAATGTGAGAAGAGAGTTTAGTGTGGAGTAAATTCAGCACAATGGACAGCTCCCTGCAGTGCTGAACTGACTGAACCACATCTGCAGGAGGAAATACAGAGATGTTTAATTACTGCTGAATAATTACTGAACAATATTGAATATTGAAAATCTAACCCATCAGTAGTGATTACTAATTAAACATTTATTTTATATATAAATTAAGATAAAAGGCGATTACATAAAAAACCTGTTGGGCTTATTCGCTCTAAGACATGCTTTGATAATCATATTTCTTTTAAAGTAATACGGTTTTGTCAATGTTAATAAAAGGAAACACTGAGTT